TTTATTTTAGTTGGTCTTTTATTATATTTAATATAATTTTGGAGTGGCCAGTTTTAGATTTCATCTTTACAGCCAGTCTATAACAAAATGGTCGCTGAATTTTTATTTGGCTGGTTTATAATAAAATAGCTGATCCACAAAAAGATGGCCACTAAGCCTGCATTTAGGTGGTCCACATCAAAATGGCCACAGAGTGACAACTTTTAATAGATCGTTTTATTGTTTACATAATTGAATCATCTATATATGATTTTAGTGGACTTATATACTAAAGTCATATGTATACCGTGCTTGTCGGTCTACAACAAAATGGCTGCCATGCTTTGATTTACATTTTGCCCGTGTTTGTTGCCCATATAAATGTGTCATCTGTCACCAGCTTCCTATCCCTGACTCATGATGAAACGCGTAGCACAGAAGCGTGGTGGTGCTGTTCTGGTTGCAGACAGCAGCCGCCATCTTGCTACACCCACCCAAAGTTTATTGCTGTACATGCTTGCATGGTCTGTGAACACAATTGTAATACGTGACTAGCTTTTAGTTGCAATTTTATTAATTAAAAGTTTTTTACCACACTCTAAAATGTCCTCTGTTCCTTATGTTTTGAGCATTGGGCCATTAGAGGGAGACTACAAGGAATCCAGGTGGAGACACCTAAAAAATCTACCTGGAGATTCATCTGATAAGAGCATATGTGACCTATACAGTCTATAGGTCAACCAATAAAGTGAGTGTGCATGCTGAAAGGTTGAGGAACACGAGTGTTGATTGCCATAAAGCAGAAGGTCACTGTGGAATTTTATATAAAGATCATAAGATTTTGGTGTACAGACTGTTTGAACGTTATTATCTTGAATATATACTGGGACTTTATTTATTGCTCTTACAATACCAATTTATTAATGTCACTTAGTAGTTGTCAGGTGCTCAGCTGGGTGTTAAGAATTATTAAGAATTATTTTATTTTTTGAAAATTATTTTCATACATGTGCACTTTGTTTTATTCATATCATAAATTCATTAGTGTCACCATTTACAGTGGCTCTCAGCTGGCTGTTTACTAAATTAAATTACAATATATTATTTATTTGATTAAGTTTTTTACTTTTACTCATCACTAATATGATTATGCATGGTTGTTATGAAGATTAGGAGGTTATTTGGGATTTGATTTATTTACTTTTTACCTGTATTAAGAGTTTGAGTATATTTGTTTTGAGTGAGTAGCGCAGCACTAATTTATATATTTCTTTGACTGCTTTTGTGGGAACACATTAGGGTGTTTGCAGTAGCTCGCAATTATTTTCTTAGTGGGGTGGTAGCGCATGGAGACTCATTCTCCTTAGTTTCTCTAACACCATGGTGCCACTTTAAGACCAGTACTGACATTCTTTTCCTCCACTAGTAAACAGGATTAAGGATGTGTCCCTTCTGTATGTAGTATGTAGTCCAATCCTCCTTTTGTAACAGTTTTAGGCTGATCTCTAGTTAACAGTTTTTAGTTGGGCACCTCTTGCCTCCTCTGCCAAACTAGTGAGCACTTCTGATCCCATGATGCTGCCCCTCTCCAACATAAATACTGTGTATACACAGTTTTATTTTTATCATCAGATTTTCAATCATGTATGGATGTAAAGTGAGCCTGTGGGCAGAAGAAACCAAGCATGCTAGGAGATATAGCAGACAGTTGACAGTATGACAAGCTTTCAAGTACATACTTTTTGGTTTAGGATTTGTTCCTCCAGTTGCACCTGAAGCCTTCCCAGAGCACCTTTGCTAATAAACTTTTCCAAAGTGAATGTCTGCCTAGCCATAGGCAACCCCCAATGTGGGAAAGATCTGGCCTGGCAAAAGAATGCCTAGGCATTCAGCATTGGAAGTTGGCAAGGGAAGGGCTATTCCTACCAAAATGTAGTATAGCACAAACATTTCTGGTGGGTGATAAAACAAAAAGTACTGTTGGCAGGTCTTGCTGTCAGCTGTCTGATAATTTGTTCAGTTAACTTTCCCACAGGTTCACATGAAGTTAATTTTCACATTTTTTCATAGGAATCAGATCATTTATTAATTGGCATACATGTTCTTTTTAATGAATGTGCTCAATACACCAAAACATAAACACTTCAGTTTCGCATATCCATACACTCACTTTTTTCCCTTTCATATGTAATTCTTCCAATTAATGAACAGGCGTACTTTTGTAAGTCTTGGTGTCCCTAGTGGTGTTGGTGATATAACTGTTTACATACGTCCTTGAAATATAAAAATGTGCCTAGTTGGGGCATCCAATTAAAGAAGAAATCTCGATATATGAAATGTAGTGGGACGCCGGAAGGTTAACTAAACTAGGTCAGGCATAAAAGAGCCAGTTTTCTAGAGGTTAGCCGTGCATGTGTACTGGGTCATTCTCTTCTCACTTCTCTGAACAGAGAGACAAGTAAATGTTGTCACAGGCATAGAAAACAAAAGTTCCCATGTGGAAACAATGCTATAACAAGATGTTTGGATGTTTAATTTCCAAGTAGCTATTCAGCTCATTGCATTCACATTATTATAGCTTTTTTTAACTGTAAATGCTCTGAAATGTTCACTTTCTGGTATTTGTTCTGCAAACTTTAAATGCTGCAGTTTTTTTTTCTATCTCTGGAAACTAGACATCGTGGTGCATACCTAATGGTAAAATTTTATCAGCCTCAATATACTATATACAAGCCATTCTGTATTTATAGAATGTACTTTCAGATGTACTTTAACTTACTATGCAACTTCCCCCCCCAAAAAAAACCATCAAATAAAACAAATTATTCCCCCTCAATATTTCATATTCATCTATGTAGTGAATAATACATATTGTAATATGGGAAGCCTGGGATCACCAGCCAGCTGCCTGTAAACGTAAACAGACTATTTTTATTTCAAACTGAGCAAACAAAACAGTTTTCTTCAGCAAAGTAAATGTAAACAGTCCATATTCTGGTATATTGAAAAAAATACAGTGGCTCACCACCAGTATACCAGTCCCACACCTGAGTTTTAGGCTCCCCTCCACTTTACAGTACAAGAAAGGTCACAGGAGCTCAGCAAACAATGTCTTAGTCGCAAGACATTTCATGCCTTTCTCTCAGCTGTGAACTGCTCCACTCCACCTCACAGACAGGTGCTGACTTCTTCTTTTTCCATTTCAGCCCTCCCTCACAGACAAATGCTTTCAGGACCAAAGTCCTTGTAATCAGGGTTGGAGGCACTTTCCCACCCAAAGTCTCTCCTAGTCTTTGAATTTCAGACCTTACCAATCCTGAGACAACTCCAGGAACCCCTCATCCTGCATGGGAGATAACCCGAGTACTCAAAAATGTCTCTTATCATGCCCCTTGAAGGGACCACAACTCAAAAAAATGGAGAATTATAGCTCCCTTCCAGTACAATATAAAAGTCAAGAGATGTGTGGCACGTCATCAGTAATATTGAGTTTTGGGTGTTCCTGCTCATCCTCGGGCTTTCTACACTTCGTGTTGTATTCTTCTATGTATAATAATCAAAAATCCAAACAGGGAAAGTGGGACCCCCCCATAATAACCATAGCAGGTGTAAAGACCCAGGAACCTCATCAAAGTGATCTTACCAAACAAATTCCCCAAAAGATGAGATTTGTCACCAAAAGATGCAATATTGCAAATAGGTTAGATGTCATTTTACCTCAAGCAACAGTATTTGCAGATTATCAGGTTAAGCAAGGAGCTCAAGGAAGAGAAAGTTCTCGGAGGTTCTGCTACAAACATAATACTACTATGCCATGGTAGCAAAATAGAGAAATACCATTTTTTCAAAGGTAAAGTATACTGTATTTTCAGTAAGGTTATAATCTTAAATTTTTTTTACTCTTTTTGCATTGTTTGTAATTTTCCCATGTTGTTTTCACATTTTTACATGCTTGGTCTTGCATATTTTTGTTAATGTATTTAAAGAGGAATTTCCAGTTTTTTTTTTTTCTTTTTTTATTTGTCAGCTGCAAATGCTGTAGCTGCTTAAAAAAAAAAAAAATTAGAGTCCAGTGCTGTTTTTGAGCAACCTGTTCTTCTTACTGATGCGTGTGCTCATAGGTGCCATCTTGGATATGGGAGTCGGCTGTGGCTTCCGGAGAACCACAGCTGGCTCCCCACTGCGCATGTATGAGCACTGCTCTGTGAATAGTCCTGAAGTCTCCTGGGATGCTGTGGGAGGGGAGTGGGTGGGGCAAGGGATGAATGTTGTGGAAGTGGGAGCAGGTAACAATAAAAATCGATACAAATAATGAACGAATTTTGAGCGGAATTCTGCTTTAATGTAAATTTTTAGCTCAGCCACAAGTGACAGAATAGATTAGTCACTGCCTAATAGTAGTAGAACTCACAAAAAAAAAATAATTTTAAGAATATTCATTCAATTTTCTAGAAGTGAATGTGACGTGCGGGTGAGTGCAGGTGCAGATCCCCAAATGCATACGTTTTGGGACCCGCACCCATACTCACCGACATGTCATATTAGGACACAGTGGCTGTGTCTGTGCAGCCATGTTTCCCAATAGAAATGAATGGGATGCCAGCACAGGGGATGCACGCAACACGTGTGCATCCCTATGCCAGGTAAACCTGCACAGGGCCCACAGTAAAGCACCCCGTGTGAACAAGTCCTTACACAGTGCTTTACATACTGTACATTTACATTAATGAAAAAAACATATATTCGTTTTAAGACCAAAACACAAGTACTATGTCTGTGATAAAATAAACAATGTCTGTTTTCCTGTCCTAAAATATTTAATCTTGAAACAAAATGAACAATTAATTAAAAAAAGCAATTATCAAAACGAGAGAAAGATGGGGTTTTCTTTGCAAAAAGCAGCAATATAAAAATATTAAACAAAGTAGATTATATTTCACACTTGTGCATATAAAATATATAAATACTATATAAAATAAAAAAGCTGAATACTTCGACAATGGATGAAACATATTGCTTACCTGCCTGTTCCAAAGCCACCATTGTGGACTGTTCAATTAAATCTCTTTCTATGAAGACTCTGAAGTCCTCGCTGTAAACACTGAGGTCTGGTAGTTGGAATGTATAAATGGGCATCTCTAGGGGAAAGGGATCACTGCTGCATTCATTGGCCACATGCAGGCGAGCCAGAGACACAATGGCTGAGCTGGCATGTGATATGCCTCTCGAAAGTCTTTTTTCTACATGCAGGAAACATAAAAGGAAAAATACAGAACTCATTAAAGCTCCACTCCACTAATAACAAAAATATATTGCCTGCACTTAATTTAAATAAAAAAGATGCAGCTTTCACCGCAATCATCAGTTTCAATTGGTGTCCATTCATTGACTGGATAGAGCTTCTCTTTCGGGTTGAATTATACCCAGCATCATTCAACCCACTTCCTGTAAGCCCATGGTAATGCTGCAAAGAATGATACTTACATGTCATTACGCAAGTGCAGCTTTGTGCAGGAATAATGACCATTCACTGACACCACTGGAGAAGAAGACCAAGAAGGACTCGTAATGTCATATGACCATTTAGACTCTGGATTTAAAGGGGAACTAAACTGTATCTGAGCACCACAAACAGAAAAAGCTACCGTATTTATTTCTTTTTTTTTAATATTCAAAGCAAACTCACTCATCTGACTATGTCTCCATGCTTTATTTTGTTGAGAAATCACTTTGAATAACACCCTCCTAGCATTTCTAACCATGGCCATCTAGATTTAAGGGTAGATGATGTAGCATTTACTTTCTGCAATCCATATACATTAGCTCAGGCATGCAGGCAGAAGGGTGTACTTAGCTGATAAAGCCCCTCCTCCCCTCCTTCAGATGAAATAATAATGTCCATGAAGACTTCAGGGATGTATGACATCATTTTGGCCTAGGCCAGAAACCAGGAAGCAACTGAAAAAATGCAAAATTAAAAAAAAATTTAAAACAAGTAAATATGATATATCTTCCTACCTATTCGCTAATGCTAGCAGCATAATGATTACAAATAGTTAATGTTGATTGAGAGAGTTTAGCTCCGCTTTAAGATCTACATAAAATGATTAATAACAAAAAAAAGTGTGAGGAGGAAAATGAGGGGGTGGATTTGATCTTAGGTTCTGATTTTTTTTAGTGTATTTTTTTCTTGAATTCCCTCTAAAATTAATTGAGTGCCAAAAATGTGTGTTGACACAAAAATAAATGCAGATTAATGTGAAAAAGCACACACATAACTGCTGCAATAATGTACACTGATAGCATGTTTTTTACTGCGTGTGCATAAAGGAGAATGTGACAGTCAAAACAATGAAATCACTCACTCACACTGCTATGCTTTACAGTGGAACTTCACTCTCTCAGTCAACACTGATTATTTGTAATCCTTATGCTACTACAATTGGTAAGAGATAGGAAGGTATATTATACTTGTTCTTACTTTTTTTTTTTTTTTTTTTTTTTTTTTACACTTCTTCAGTTACTTTTTGCCTAGACAAATGATGTCATACATCCCATAAGTCTTCTAAGTCTTCTGGAGGGGAGGAGGGGCTTTCTCAACTAAGCACACCCTCCTGCCTGCATGACTGAGCTAAGGGCAGATGGATTCCAGGAATTAAATACTACATTAATCGATCAGCCCTTACTCAAGGTGGCCGTGCCCAGAAATGCTAAGGAGCAGTGGTGCCAATCTCCTGCAGAACATAGAAAATGTACTGATGGAAGACATTTTTTGTTTGCTGACAACCTGAAAAATAACATTAAAAACTAAGACAATCAATATTTAAACAGTATAAACACAATATGGAAATACTGACAATACCCATAACAAGCAATTTGACTGGTTTACACTTACAAAAGTTAACACAGTAAGACAAATTGTCAGCCTCTGATATTTACAGACAGTTGTAAAAATCACTGTTTTTTACAAATTGTCCGTAAATTTAATGATGGTTGGCAACCCTGCTAGGAGGGTGTTTTTCAAAGAGATTTCTCACCAAAATAAAGCATGGAGACATGGATGGATGGATGGGGGGGGGGGGGTTTCTTTGAATGTTAAAAATGAAGTAGCATTTTTGGTTTGTGGTGTTTAGATGCAGTGCAGTTCCACTTTACTATACATGCATGTACAATGCACATGTACTGTGTTCTACACATGGTATCATTCATTCTTGCAGATGTGTTTGCGGGAAACTGTACAAAAAAGTGGATTTTTTTTTTGTTTACAAAGCAAACTCTTTAAAAATTCATAGATGAAATCCTCGCCATTGGAACTCTCACTTACTTTGGCAATGGTTTAGGATGCTTCAAAATGTATGCTTCAACTGCACTAATAAAGTGGTTCTAAAGGCTGAAGGTTTTTTTTTTTTTTTTACCTTCATGCATTCTTTGCATGCTCCCCCCCAGCCCCCACTAATATTTTCCTGAGCCAGATCTCGATCCAGCGATGTGCATTAGAGTGGAGGCTCTCTCGGCTCTCTCCCTTCTCACTGGCTCAGAGACAGCAGTGGAAGGCCAGAAGCCAGTGAGGAGGCAGCGGGGCCCGGGAGCAAGCACATACGAGTGTCCCAGAGCAAGGGACTTGCTATGGGGGCACTCGGTAGGGAGGAGGAGCCAGGAGTGTCAGTGGGAGACCTAAGAAGAGGAGGAACAGGGCTGCTCTAAGCAAAACCATTAAACAGAGCAGGTAAATATGACATGTTAATTTTTTTTTTTAAATGTACCTTTAGGATCACTTTAATGCATTTCATATACTTTTGTGATGCGATCTACATTATTCAGTGTAAAAACCATGAAAATATATTTTTCAGCTGTTCTAAAGTGGCTACAAAAGAGCTATTTATCCCTGTATACCCAGGTGGTGGTGGGTGGAGTCTTCTTCTGGGGCAGAGCATCCTTGTGCTGGAATATGGATGTGGCAGCCTGCTACATCACCATACCATGGAATTTTTGTAAATCAGTGGGTTTGAGAAAGGGGTGGGATAGTGGGTGGAGCTAATAGCAGCACACACAGCTAAAGCACCAAGCCCCGTGCCTGTGAAAATCCTGCACCATAAAATCCAGCAAGTTCCCAGGTATGTACATCACAGGTTGACTTGGGAACTGCAGTTGCACACCATTCGTCTGTTTCTTCTGAGAGTAGAACAGAGAATGCCTGTCAACACTACAACATGTCTGAACCTGTACATAGTATTGACAGTACAGGGCGGGAAGCAGGAGCAGAAGGAAAAACACTGGCCAGATATTCAGGTACAGTGGGGATCGAAAGTTTGGGCACCCCAGCTAAAAAGTTGTATTAATGTGCATAAAAAAGCCAAGGAAAGATGGAAAAATCTCCAAAAGGCATCAAATTACAGATTAGACATTCTTATAATATGTCAACAAAAGTTAGATTTTATTTCCATCATTTACACTTTCAAAATAACAGAAAACAAAAAAATGGCGTCTGCAAAAGTTTGGGCACCCTGCAGAATTTATAGCATGCACTGCCCCTTTGCAAAGCTGAGACCTGCCAGTGTCATGGATTGTTCTCAATCATCATCTGGGAAGACCAGGTGATGTCAATCTCAATGTCAATGCCCAGACTCATCTGACCTTGCCGCAACAATCAGCACCATGGGTTCTTCTAAGCAGTTGTCTAGAAAACTGAAACTGAAAATAGTTGACGTTCACAAAGCTGGAGAAAGCTATAAGAAGATAGCAAAGCGTTTTCAGATGTCAATATCCTCTGTTCGGAATGTAATTAAGAAATGGCAGTCATCAGGAACAGTGGAAGTTAAGGCAAGATCTGGAAGACCAAGAAAATATCAGACAGAACAGCTCGCAGGATTGTGAGAAAAACAATTCAAAACCCACGTTTGACTGCACGATCCCTCCAGAAAGATGGAGTAGACTGGAGTTGTGGTACACTATTCCACTATAAAGAGATACTTGTACAAATATGGTCTTCATGGAAGAGTCATCAGAAGAAAACCTCTTCTACGTCCTCACCACAAAAATCATCGTTTGAACTTTGCAAATGAACATATAGACAAGCCTAATGCATTTTGGAAACAAGTTCTGTGGACCGATGAGGTCCACAAATTTTTGGCCGGAATGAGCAAAGGTACGTTTGGAGAAGAAGGGGCACAGAATTTAATGAAAAGAATCTCTGTCCAACTGTTAAGCATGGGGTTGGATCAATCATACTTTTTGGTTGTGTTGCAGCCAGTGGCACAGGGAACATCTCACGAGTAGAAGGAAAAATGAATTCAATAAAATTTCAGCAAATTTTGGATGGTAACTTGATGCCATCTGTGAAAAAAGCTGAAGTTAAAGAGAGGATGGCTTCTACAAATGGATAATGATCCTAAAACACACCTCGAAATCCACGGGGGATTACATCAAGAAGCGTAAACTGAAGGTTTTGCCATGGCCTTCACAATCTCCTGACCTCAATATAATTGAAAATCTATGGATAGACCTTAAAAGAGCAGTGCGTGACAGACAGCCCAGAAATCTCAAAGAACTGGAAGACTTTTGTAAGGAAGAATGGGCAAAGATACCTCAAACAAGAATTGAAAGACTCTTGGCTGGCTACAAAAAGCATTTACAAGCTGTGATACTTGCCAAAGGGGGCAGTACAAGATATTAACTCTGCAGGGTGCCCAAACTTTTTGCAGACGCCATTTTTTTTGTTTTCTGTTATTTTGAAAGTGTAAATGATGGAAATAAAATCTAACTTTTGTTGACATATTATAAGAATGTCTAATCTGTAATTTGATGCCTTTTGGAGATTTTTTTCCATCTTTCCTTGGCTTCTTTATGCACATTAATACAAATTTTTAGCTGGGGTGCCCAAACTTTCGATCCTCACTGTATTTGTGCATCTTAAAGCAAAAAAAAAAAAAATGCCATAGAAAGGAATGAAAACAGTTTATCAATCAATACATTACATTTTATTTTTCACAAAGACATACCATATTTTTCGCCGTATAAGACGCACCTGACCATAAGACGCACCTAGGTTTTAGAGGCAGAAAACAGGAAAAAAAAATTCTGAACTAATGGACTGCAGACACAGTACAGGAGATGGCAAGAGACTGCGGACAGCACAGGGATGACCAGAGACTGCGGACAGCACAGGGATGACCAGAGACTGCGGACAGCACAGGGATGACCAGAGACTGCGGACAGCACAGGGATGACCAGAGACTGCGGACAGCACAGGGATGACCAGAGACTGCGGACAGTACAGATGACTGCTGACCTTTGGGGATTTGTGGGGAGCGGGTACCTGAATTTGACAGGTACCCGCTCTTACTTTCGCAGAGTTTTTTTTGTTTGATCTTACCTGTTCCTCGATCCAGCCGCGCGCTGTCTTCCCGGCTTCTGTAATGGCGCTCGGCATGACAGCCGGGTGCCCAGTGCGAATGAGTGAGAAGGCGGCTTCTGGGATCTGTCATGTGTCCCAGGTACCGCCCTTACCATTCACAAAAAGCACCGCTTCTTGCGCATGCGCACTTGGCACCCGGCTGTCATGCCCAGTGCCCACACTACAGAAGCCGGAAGACAGCGCGCGCTGGATAGAGGAACAGGTAAGGTCCCGCTGCAGAGCTGAGCGTCCGGCCCGGTATTCTGACACGGCCGCGGTGGAAATACTGGACCGGCCGCTCCATATTCGCCTTATAAGACGCACTGACATTTCCCCCCCAGTTTTGGGGAAGAAAAAGTGCGTCTTATACGGCGAAAAATACGGTACAACTGAAATCATATGAAATGGTTGAATGAGCTATAAGTGACATCAAGATTTTGCATCTAACCCTTACAAAGACCATGTAAAAAATAGGTGGAACATAAAGGGAAAGTACAATTGCCATAGGTCAGTTTTTCTAATACATTTTAATCTGCTGTTTTAGAAATAAACACTGAATATATGACAAGGACTGCCAGCTTCTTGTCTGAAGGCTTGATGAGGGATAGGTAACTTTTGATGTGTAATTCACTTTGTGTTTAAAATTGCAGTTTGAGCTACTGAGTTCAATAAATAAAAAATCCAGGGAGATCCTTAAAACGACAGCTTTCTATGGCACAATCACTATGAAGTACAGTAATACCTCGGTTTAAGAATTTAATTCGTTCTGCAGGACTTTTCTTATAGCGAAAAATTCTTAAACTGAAACGCTACTTCCCGTAGGAAAGCATTGAAAACCAATTAATCTGTTCCGGAGATCAGACAAAAGTAAACACTAATACATACCGCATGAGTTATTTTATCAAGTCATGCGGCATTTTAGTAGTGACAACCATGTGTTAATATTTCAACTGTCAGCGAGGTTCCCCACTGACAGCTGAATGTAAAAGAATTGCCGGCACTTAAAAAAAATAATTTAAAAAACTGAGTGGGGTCCCCCTTCCCATCCATACCAAGCCCTTCGTGTCTGGTATGGATTTTGAGGGGAACTCCCACGCCAAAATGTAAAACAAAATGACGTGGGGGTCCTCCCCAAAATCCATACCAGACCCTTTTCAGAGCATGTAGCCTGGCAGGTCAGGAAAGGGGGGGGGGGGGGGGCAAACAATGTTTCTTTTTAGTTTCCTAAAAGAAACAACATTTCCGTTAACTTTGGGGAAAGTGACAGCTAATTCTGTGAGCTATAGTGAAGAAAAAAAAAAGAGCCAGCAATTGCATTTAAAAATCAGCACTGACATACACTTCGTATTGCAAAAAAAATTCATACAAAATTTGTAAACCGAGGCATTATTTTCAGTGGATTTTCATTGTAAACCAAAAATTACTTTAACCAAGGCGTTCTTAAACCGAGGTATTTCTATAACCTATAGTTTAAAAAGTCCACTATAAAATCAGCAGTCATGTTTTTTGGATGGCTTGTAGCTCCTCTTAGCTCAGAGAAGGGGTAAATCCTCTGAAATACGATACTAGAAAAAGGAAAAATACAGAGGGCGCATCTAAGTGTATGTGTTTTATTAAACAACAGGTTAAAAAAATCATATGCACTCACATGAAATTGAAAAAGGTAAGGCACATCATCCTAGCATAATACCTTATTCTGCTGCATGTGAGTGCATATGCTTTTTAGCCCATTGTATAATAAACTTCTACACTTAGATGGTCATGTCCTCTGTATCTTTCCTCTTTTCTACAGCCTTAAAACATACTTATCAATCAAAAGACCAGTTCACCCACCACCCCTGACAGATATTGCTCTTTTTTTTTTTTCCAAAATCATTTAAACAAAGTGCTAGAAAACAAAGAACAGAATGCATTGGATTGCACAATATATCATCAGTACATACCAGCAAATATAACAAAGAATAGAATGCATTGATTGCACAATATATCACCAGTACATACCAACAAATATTTCTAGATGACCTACAATAAAAATCAAGATGCACTTACAAACATCAATGCACAATGTGCCTGTAAAAAGTCCATAGGAGTTTCCTCCTACAGGAAAGTCTTATGGATTTGTTACTGTACAAGCCCATTGCACATTTATAAGGGGATTTTGATTTATTTTTATTCCCCACAATCTGGTAAAAAAAAAAATGTATTAATATACAAGCTTCATATGGACCTGAAAAATAACAAAAAACTATAGCTGAAATACTTTTTTGTGGGCCTTGAGCATAATAAATAAAGAAAATATGCACAAAACTGCAATGTGTTCCTTTTAATGATACGTTTGCAAGACTTCACTACTGTCGGGTTGGGTGTAACTGATATATGTAAGATGTAGTGCTGAGCTCCACTCTTGCAAAATATCTTAAAAATTTTAGAACTTAAAAACAAGCAAAATCCACCCCCTACCCCTGATTGCTTTGCAGCATTGGGCTTCCTTCAGGCTCTCTTTAATGTGTATTTAAATGTATATTGAAATATCTTGGGTAACACAATCATATTAAAAGTATAAAAGAAACTCGACGCAGTGGCATGCATCTGTAATCCCAGCTACTCGGGGAGCTGAGGCTGTAGGATTGCTTGAGTCCAGGAGTTCTGGTCTACCCTGCGCTATCTTGATCCTGTGTCCGCACTACGTTCAGTATCAATATGGTGGAACCTAGGTAGGGGAGCCAGGGGCCACCAGGTTGTCCTAAGGAGGGGTGAACCGGCCCAGGTAAAAACCCCTGTCCTGATCAGTAGTGGGGTTGCGCCTGTGAATAGCCAGTGTAGAGCAGCCTGTACAATACTGTGAGACACAGTCTCTAAAAAAAAAAATAATAATAATAACAAAAAACGCATAAGAGATGCCTGTCAGGATGGAAAAATGGAAACTGTCAGTGCCATCCTGTTTTAGATGTCATCTCCTAGATTTGTAAGCTTCTATCCCTGTATTGAACTGTATTGTTGCTGTATTGTCTCCCGTTATATTGTAAAGCTCTGAGCAAACTGTTGGCGCTATATAAATCCTGTATATTTTTTAATAAATCTGTTTTTTCATATCCTTACTTCACAACTTAGTGATCCCCGGGCTTGGAACAACCATGCAGCCATAGAAGTCGGAACACCTGACCGGCACATAAAGTGATTTAGCTTTAAATAAATTTGGCAAAGACAGCTTCCATATATCCACTCTAACCAGTTCCCTTTAAAAGGTAGCAAAGCCAACAGAATGCTAAATATACAATCCTCTGTGTGATCACCATAAATGACTTTAAGAAAGCCACTGTACCTTGAGCGATATCATCCTGTCTTTGGAGGTTTGGTCTGTCGATCTTGTTGATATGCTGGGTGATTTCTCTGTCCTGCTGCTTATAGTATTTGCCTTCATTAAACACTTGAGGCAAATTTGCCGTGTGCACCTGCCGTAGTTGTTCATAATCACTTAGAGCAGCTGTGAGGTCCCAGTTCTTTCCTGACAAGTAGAAACGTTCAACAAGCAGATTAATAACTATACAGCAAGTAACAACATGTGCAGCAGTTAAAGAGACAGCTTGTGGCCTTTGTTCATTTATTCCTTTTCATTTTAATAACATTAGTACAATATTTCACAAGAAAATAATTATTTCAGCATTTATAAGGGTTGTAAAGACTAAGAAAGAGCACAGGGTTGGTCTGAACTTGGGTTTGGACCCAACCTAAAAGGAACCAGTCACTCCCGCTCACCAACGCCTTAAGAATAGGTAGACTTCTGCTGACAGATGCTGGAGCCTACCAATAACGGCCAGGCCATACAGCCAGGCCTCTGTTACTGGAAGGCCTGTGTAGGGCCTTCCTTACCAAATTCAAACAGACGATATATGGAATGCAGTGTCAGGCGTCTCACACTGGCTGGGCTGTGGTGATAAGTGGCAGTCTCAACATGGCTCTGGTACTGGAGACCCCAGAACTCAACTCTGCAGTACTGTAAGGAGAACTGTGTGGTTCAACTACATAATCAGGGGTTAACAGGACAAGTGACTCGACATTCGGCACAGGGGTTGGGGGTGACACACACCGTACTAACTGCTGAGGGCATTGCTCATTGTATACAGCATGTGCCAGGGTACAGTAGCTGTCAGGGTCCTGTCCACGGCAGAAGTTCTGGAAGATCGGGCATTTCTGCCAGTACTCTGCATTTCCGCAGAAGTACACATCAGCCTCAGTTTGGTGCCAGACGGCCTTTATAAGGAGGCTCATCACTTCCTCAAGTTTCTAGATGATCTCAAGCTCCCCATGCCTTGTTCCTGTTTCCTGTGATTTTGACCTGTGATTTCCTGTTACCGACTCGGCCTGCTCCTGGACCTGTCTACTCTGCTTTACCCCTGATCTGACCTCGGCTTGGCTTACGGATACTCTCTCTCTCGCTCCTCTGTGTATGACCTTGGCTATCCCATCTGACTACATCCGCTCTGATTCCCACCTGGTACCTGACCTTGGCTTGAACCGACTACCCAGTAAACATTTAAATCCTGGAAGGGCTTACATACCACGAATAGGCACCTTCTGTCTGCTGACCTATCTCCGTGCACCAGCTGTGCTTCTGAGTGGACCACCAACCAGCACTCCGACAAGCGACTTGTGCAACTTTGGGCCTGACTCCCGCTGTCCCACTCTCAGGGGAGTCCGGAACTTAACTGAAAGGGAAGCCCTCTCTCCATTGGCCTCCATCACCAGGTACGTGATAGTAGGGTCGGGGGATATATTGGGGATTGGTGTTCCCAACAAAGTCCGTGTCAGTGTATATGATGTGTATAAGATGTGCCTGGCACAACTCCTTCTTGTGCAAGTGTATGGTTTGTGACACTGCTAGAGTACAGAAAATGGTCTATAAAGGGTAGGGTTGTGCCAGGATATAATGATTTCTCTGTGTGCCCAGTGTATAGTGTGCATCAGTGAAAGGTAACAGGACCCTTTGTGTGCTCTAGTGCAAGGGAACAGTCCCCTTATTTTATGTGTTGTAAAGGACTCCAGGGATGGCTCTTGGATGACAGGTATATTTCGCACTAGTTGGGTTGTGGTCACTTTGAGGGGGTCAGTTTGAAGATAACGTTGAGTACTCAGAGGTTTCTCCCCCATGCAGGGTGAGAGGTTTCGGGGTAGCCCGACTAGAAATGTGAGGACTAACTTTCAGCATTCTCCTGATTGCTAAGTCCTTATTAGGGACCCAGAATTTTGGAGGGTCGAAGAGGTTTGGGTGGGAAGAATCTCCAAACCCTGATTACAAGGACTTTGGTCCTGATGGGGGTTAACCCAGATGCCTCAGAATCCAGAAAAGGAAGAGGAAACAGTTAGCATCTGGCAGTGAAAGAGAGCTGGACACGTGAATGAGCAGGCTGAACTAGCTTGGGACTGAGGGCGAATCACTCAATGTGTCACAATGTTGCCACGCACATACACAAAAGAAGGCATTATGCCCACACACACTGCTGGCACTGTTTCGTAGTAGAAGAGTCCAGGTGCTTAACTGGCCAGCCTGCAGTCCAGACCATTCACCAATAGAAAATATTTGGCGCACCTTGAAACAAAAAATACAACAAAGGTGAACCAGGACTATTGAGCAGTTAAGAATCCTATATCAGGTAAGAATGAGACAACATTCCTCTCCCAAAACTCCAGCAACTGGTCTCCTCAGTTCCCAGATGTGTGCAGAGAGTGTTTAATGAAGAGGGGATGCATGCACTATGGTAAACATGGCCCAACTTTTTTCTTCTTTTCAAATAGTTTTTATAAATCTCGTGCATAAACAAGGTAGTACATACTATTGTAAAGGTCCCAATGATATTACATAATTCGGATCTCAATATACAAATTTCACATATTATTCTACCCAATATTGATATAATATCATAAATTGCATTTTTACTCAAAAAGACCTTATGAAGTATACTGTATATATATATATATATATATATATACACGTATATATATATATATATGTGTGTGTGTGACTTAGCTTACGCTATAAGCTTCACCCAAATGAGGGTGGAGTAAAATACAAATACTGTAAAATAAACAAGAATAAACAGTAATAGACAGAATAGGATACCATTAGGCACCAATAGGCAAAAAAAAGTTCCACCTTACAATTAAAGATCCAAATTTTCTGGGTTTGGAAGCATTTGGATCTAACTGCTCCATTTGTCGTCACATGATTTTAAGTTATTGGAGCTATATGCAAAAAATCTTTTATGTTGGGCAGAAGTGTTGACTTACTGATAACGTCAGAAATGTTGAGTGCTGTAGTTGTTTTCCAGTGTGAAGCTATTGTGAGATGGACTGCTATAAGGACACTGGAGATTACTGTGCAAAATTGTATTGGGATATTGTCAATGGTAAGATGTAATAGAGCTAGGTCCAAATTTTTTTGAGACGTGTTGTTATCGTCAAATTTAAAATTTAAATTTTTTTCTTAAAATGGTACATTTTCTCAGTTCAAATATTTGATATGTTTTCTATTGTGAATAAAATATGGCTTTCTGAGATTTGCAAATCACTCCTTTCTGTTTTTATGTAGATTTACACAGCGTCCCAAGTTTGGAACACGAAACTGTGTGTAAGTGTACTGTATGTACATATATACTAGAAACTTAAATCCTAGCTTTCAAAAAAAAAATTCACATGTGTAAATGCATGTGAATATTTATGCACCTATACAAAAAAGCTTTATGGACCATACTTGTGTTTTATATGCAGGATCTTTCTGACAGCAACACCCTGTGTTTATGATCAGTGATTTTGTTATACTGTGTGCATGAAGCCTTTAAGGGATATTGACCTTTCTGAAATTATTCTGGCATTAGAGGTTTAATTGCTTTTATACTGCAAACATTTTTTATGTTTTGTTTTCTCATTTGACTCATTTGTTATAACACTCCTAGGTTATTAGATCAGATTTAGACCTTTGCAGTGCACATTAATATACATTATGGTAAGGTAGTCTATTTATTTACCGGGCTGCCATTGCACCATAATAGACTTAACTACAAAAAAAAGACAAAATACACTTGTATTCTTCTAATCTGTTTTTTTCCCTGCAGATTATTTCTAAAACATGTGGCAGCATGCACACAGGCATATTAAAATACTCCTATCTATGCTGGATCTTTCTCCCAGGAGCTAGCAGAAAAATCAAATGTAAAAAAGCTGGTTTTGGTGTGTAATGCACATTTAGGGGTTTATTTACTAAAGCTGGAGAGTCCAAAATCAGACTCCCTTCTGCATAGAAACCAATCAGCTTCCAGGTTTCATTGCCAAAGCTTCATTGAACAAGCTGAGGTTAGAAGCTGATTGGTTTCTATGCAGAAGGGAGTCTGATTTTGGACTCTCCAGCTTTAGTAAATAAACCCCTTAGAGTCATATGGCGTTTAGAAGCATATGAATGTAATCTCATTCTACTGGCCAGAATATTTATGTATTCTAGGCACTGGAAAGAAATTACTTGCATATGCATGCATTTATGTGCATTTATGTTGAAAATAAAACAAACAAATCGACCCAGCGAGTCTTTCGGGTCTTTCAGGCACCCGCACAAACAGATAATTTTATTATTATACATATGGTTAAAATACAGGGATAAAAATATCCCATATCACATGTAGCATCAATGAACTAGAACTCATCCGGGGGACATATCACACTACCAGCTTATAAACTCATATGTGTATATAGATAATGTAATGTTCATCAAACAATTGTACTTGATGTTGAAAAATCACATATATAACATATCCGCTGATGGTGGGACTAGCCCTTAATGCATTTCCCAGGATCACATTCTACCATTTTAGGAGGCCAGATGAGATTTGTGCATTTATTTGTGTAAATTATGCCAGTAAGCGCTTCTCCAAATGCAGATTTGGGACATTTTTATTTTATGCCTCTGAATGCTGTTAAAATATGAATGTAAATACCACAATATACATGGACACATTGCTTGAAATCATTCAGCATCATTCATTCAGATGCATTAAAAAAAAAAAAAAGAAGCCTTTTAAAGCAGTGTTTTTTCTGCCCATGTGTATGAGGCTTAGTAAAAACAAAAAAAGTTCAGAAAAAACAATACCACCAGATAAAAACCCTCCCCCAAACAATATTATTATTTATTTATTTCAGGTACTTATATAGTGCCGTCAATTTACACAGCGCTTTACATATATACAGTTGTGACCAAAATTATTCAACCCCCAATGCTGTAAAGGGGTTTAGGGACTATAGTGTACATTTGGAATTGTATTCAGAATCAAATCCTACAAGGACGTTGTAACTACCCAAATGCAACTAAAATGACATCAATTGTTTATGTAATACAGTAGTAAATGGTTCTTATGTGGGTTTCTTCATTGCCACAATTATTCAACCCCTTAAAGACTACCACTCTGAAGAACAGAGGTTCATACAGGTGCTTTCCATCAGGTATTGAAAACACCTGTGGATGTCACCGAGCAGCAATCAAGCATAATAAGCACCAATTAGGCAGCTTTAAAATGACTGTGATACTCAG